TCAGGCTCCTGGCAGCTGTTCACAACAACACCCCCTCTCTCCTGGCTCCTGCCCACTCCCATCCTCCACAGACACATCCTTGTGGCCACTTGGTTGCCTAGGAGCCCACTATGGTTGCTAGGGCAACAGGATGCTTTCTCTGCCTGGCACTGGTCTCTGACAGCCTCCTGTCTGTTGTGTGTGCGCACATCACTGCTCTCTGACAGCCTCCTGTCTGTGTATGTGCATCGGGGCTGGTACCCCACCCTCCAGTAGCAGTAAGCATGGCTGTGCCAGAGCCACAAGATTACATCTCCTTCATCTGGGACCCCACCCTGCTATTTACTCCCCACATTGAGACTCCATCCTCCTAGGGCAAGAAGAGTTAAGACTGCAGCAGAACTCAGGACACTTCGGTTCTAGTCCTGGCTCGGCTGCCACGACCCAGGACAAACCCCTTCACCACTCAGTGTCTCAGCTTTTCCCATCAGCAAGTGGGGATGGTGAGACCTGATTCCTCTGAAAGTGCTTTGAGACGTAAGAGGAGACAAAGAGCAAGAGCCAAGTGGTGTCCATGCTCTGGGAAGGAACTGCAGGCAATGGAAAGCGGGCTGGAAATGAAAGCTATAAAGAATCAGTAGGATAGCATCACCTCACAGCCTGGAAAAGGGGCCATGAAGCTACTGAGGCACTTTATCAATTACTGCGTGAAGAGATTTGTGGGTTAAGGGCACTGATCCTTTCCCCCCAGGACTCCTGAGCACTGTCACTACCCAGCTTTGAACAGTCACATGACATGATGGGTTGGCGTGTGCATGCATGTACCTGAGTGAGTGAGCAAGTATGCGTGTGTGTGGCAGGGTGTCTCAACCTGAGAAGCATCAAACATCCAACCACATGCAAAGAAGTGTTGCCCAGACCAGCATCCCCTGCCCTGGGAAAGGGCCTAGAATGGTGGGGTAGTTAGGAGGACTGTGGGGCAGGATTGAGGGGCACCAACAGGGCTGGGTGTGGGCACCCAGCACTGGACAGCAGAGCTTTATGGGAAGGGGCTTCAGACTGGAGCAGTGAAGTGTGGGATCAGGGGTATGGACTGAGGGGTACTGGCAGAGCTCATTGTATGGGAAGCACATGGAGCACATGAAGCCTGGAGCTGCAGTTCAAGTGAAGCTGAGGGGGAGGGGGCGGTCGGCTCCCAGCTCCATGCCCCATGGAAAGGTATTGCTCAGCTCCTGCTTGTTATCTGGGATAGCCATGGAGGGACACTGACATGAGCCAAGCATACATGTAGCACATGGAGCCCAGAGCTGGGACACAGATTAAATGGGAAGCTCAGGTCTGCACTAGTAGGCAAGGCTGGCAAGGCAGGACTGAAGTGAATCAGCTGAGCTGGGACCGCAGGTGGGCTGGGCTGTGAGCTGGGACTGAGAGGCATGGGCAGAGTTGGCTGTGTGGGAATCCCAGACCTGGAATAACAACAGCGGAGCGGCAGGTGCTGGACGAGAAGCATGGGTGGAGCTGTGCTGGGGAGCTTATGTAACTCCTGCCCACATGATGCCCAGTCCCTCCCCCACTTTGTAGAGCTCTAAAGTTTAAACGTCCTCATACTGTGACAGGAAAGGGTGGGGGGTCATTATCTGAAACATTCACAGAGCCGGCTTTTCTCTCTTCCCAACACCTCATCTCTTCACACTCCTGGGCAAGCTCTCGCACCTCCCAGCCACCCCTGGGAGCTCACAGCTCTGGCGAGAAGCTCTCGCCAGCTTAGCAGTGAAAATGGAACGGCAAAGGGACTTGAACAAAAATAATGAAATAAAAAGAAAATAAAATGATTAACGCTTTCTGTCCCTACCCTTGAAAGGTGCCTGTTTATCTTCTTCAATGTCTAGAGAGGACAGGTTGATTCATTTCCCATCAAGGTCACTGGCCCCTGTGTGACTTTGGCTGCAGCACTTAATCTCTCCCTGCCTCAGTTTTTCACCTGCAAAATGGGGATAAACTGGCCCTTCCTCTGTCCCTCTTCTCTATCTAGGCTGTGAGCCCTTTGAGACAGGCTCTGTCTCACATCCAGCACAATAAAGCCTAGTCTCCATTGAAGCCTCTAGGCAGATGAGAAGCCAGGGCTAGAAAGGATCTGCAATTCTTCCCTCTTGCTACAGATACCATGCCAGATGGGTAGGGAACGGAGGAAATTTAGTCACAGTTTTTGTGCTGTATCAAATGTGGACTGAATAGCACAGGGGTCAGCAACTGCAGCCAACACCAGGTGCTACAGCTATCAGGGGAAGGCAGCAACCTGGAAAACACAAGTGGCTTTGCTTGAACACAGGATCAAGCTAGGTCCAGCTGCCCACCTGCTTCTGCCTACAAAATGCAATGGCTTCTCTCCTGTTTGCTTCCTCTGCCCCAACCCCATGACGCTGTGAGTGTGAGGAGGGAGCATGAGCACAGAACGAAGGGGTAGCACTTAACTAGTCTAGTTCTCCAGCTGCCTGGCCCCGGGTTGAAGTCAAGACACAGCAGGCATCTCCTGAGGTGGCACAGTCCTATCCAGGGCAGGGGGAAGAGTGTTGGCATCACTTCCAGGAAAATAACTGATTCCCCAAGCTGGCCTCTTACACTGCTTTCCCTGCCTGGAGGGTAACCAACTGGTTGAGTTAGTCTCAAGGACCTGTGGCTCCTTCCTAGAAGGGGGAATCTCCTCAACAGGGCTAGGAGAGAGGGAAGGGGAGATGGCACTAAGAGGCTACAGAGAGGGGTTGTCCAGGGGTGGAGTGCATGGAGCCATGTGCTCCTACCTGGCCTCAATCACGTGGCAGTGTAGCACTCTCCTGTGGGGCTCCTCCAGCACCCACAGCTCCAAACGGATCTCACCCTGCACCTCTTCATTGGGGTCAACTCGCGTCAGGTTGATCCAGCTGTCGATGCCTACAAGGGTGGAGAAGGCTGGGTTGGTACCCTCTGGCCCACCACACCTCAGGGTGCTGGGTGCCAGGAGGGCATATCACAGCATGGAATTTGAATGGTGCTGACAGTCACAAGCCATTCTTGCTGATCCTACCACCTGCCCGAGGAGAGGGCTGAGCAGTGGCATCAGCAACACCAACCACTCGGACACCACAGGTTGGGTATCCCTTGAACCACAAGACTAACAAGCACAGTAATACATGACAGTATCTCTTTATCTGCTTTCTGAGCCTAGAGAGGACCCTGTAGTCACTTTTCCAGGCTTTTCTCCACCATCATAAAGGTCAGAAACACTCTTTTATTTTTTAAATGAAAACCTGAGAATGCCCCCTAATTACATGGCTCCAGGAGCTGGAGCTATGATACCAGAAACCACAAGATGCAGGATAGGATTGTGAATGTCTGGGTGGATCAGGGATGTGAGCAGGTGGCTCCTTCTTAGCTGGGGCATGACACACCTTCTCACTCCATGCAGGGCAATAGGGGACACAGTGCTGCTAGAAGAGTTCTCCACGGGGCCATGAGTGTTAATCCCAGGAGCGCTCACAGACTCTGCTCTCTGGAAAAGTCTAACATTTTAAGCTAGGTCTCTGGGTTACAGGGAGGCTACTGCGTTGGCATGTGTTGTCTTTCACGCCTGCTATGAACCAGCCACTGTGATGGTGAGATACAACCCTGCATCCCTCCTCCCCAGCACTTACCTCGTGGGTGAGAAGAAATCTGTTCTTTACTGAGTGATATCTTGCCAATGACATCATCATGTCTGCAAGGAACCAGAGCCAAGGATGAGCTATGAGACTCATTATTAATCTCCCTGCATGGACATAGGACACACTATCTAGTCGACCAACCACTTCCGCAGGCTGCTCACCTCTCCCCGCCTGGAGATACCAGCTTACCTTGAGCCAGGGAGGCACTGATCCCCCCACACTGCTGAGTGTGGCATCTTCTCTGCCCAGTTCCCCAATAGGCCGAGCCTCTTCCTCACTGAGGTGCTGAGAACATGGAGCCCATCACTGCAGCAACAAGACTGCCCATAACCAGGGATGGCTTTGCCCCCACTGGAGCTAAGGAAGTACTGTGTCCATGTTACAGAAGCCAGGAGGATTTAAGTGGACAATCACATGTCCACATATACCCACTCATTTGTGGATTTACCACACACACTGAAGGACCTAGCTCTGGTAACTCCAGCAGCCAGGAGCTCAGAGTTAATACTGCCTCGCCTCCTTGCTACAGAGACCCCTTTTGTCCAGTCCCTCAGCTCCAGAGGAAAAGACTGTGATGTGTCAATAAAGGGCCAGAGAGCTGCTAAGAAAGCTCTGCCAAGGGTATGCCAGGACTTCCCAGTCCCAGCCAGTTCTGCCAGCCCAGGGTCTGAGTCACTGAATGAAATCTGTGTTGGCTGCAGTTTATGCCCCGTGCTTGGAAAGGGCGCGGGGCAGCCAGCACCAATGCTCAGAGCTCCTGGCACGCCCCAGCCCCAGGTGTGGCCACTCCTCAGATCTGACCCCTCTCCCCTAAGGGCCGTGAGGGCTTCCTAGTCCCAGGTGAGCTCCATGCAGGGATGACGTGCAGTGTTTCCTGACCTGGGATCTTCCCTCATGGCAGGGAAAGAAAAGGAATTGAATGTAGTGAATGCAAATTGTGTGCATCTTTGTGGGGCGTGGGGGGCTTTTCTGGCTGCTAAGAGATATAGGCACACACTGTGGTTCTCTCTGGCTCCCAGCCAGTGCTGACTACTGTCACCATAGAGGCCCTTCCCAAGTCCCATGCCCTTATGAAAGGGACAGCGCAATGCTCCTCATCTCGTTGCTATGGAGACGTGCAGGCTGGAACATCCTTCCTAGCAACACAGGGCCTTCAGCGCTCTCATCTGGGCCTCCCAACCCGGGGGACCCTGGAAGGCTGCAGGGGAGCCATAGGGGTCAGGAGGGGGCATTTGCCAGGGCATTAGGGAAAGGAAATCAATGAACAATCCTGCTGCCTGTTTGCTTCTGGCTCAGGAAGGCAACGGGGACAGGCACCGAGAGCAGGAGCCTGCAGATCTATTGGCTCCAAGCAGCTTCTGCTCAGCAAACCCCTCCCTCCTCCCACCCACTGCTAGTGCTCCAAATAGAGCCCGTGCCAGGTGCTGTCCATGCTCTGAGCTCCCCTCCGCCTCCCCCTTACCCAATGGTGTCCTCATCCAGCACATAGAAAGTGAGGCTGTGGAAGCCCAGGGGCAGGTGCAGGGTGTACTCTTCACCCCAGAAGGGGTTCAGGTTCTTCCACACAGTCGCAGTCCTGCAAGCACAGAGTGGGGTGGGGAGGTGTTCAATGCCAAGGGCACTTGCAGATTTGCTCCAGTACTTTCAGTCCAAGGGTATGGGAAGGAGATACAGAGGCTTCAATCAGGTGCAGTGGGGCAAGGGAGAGGGGCAGGCCAAACCTTGTGATTGAGGGACCACCTCAGGCCTGGTAGAGCTGTCACCCAACCTGCAGCTCCGAGGGGTCAAACCATATGTTAGGGACCCAGATGTGATGCTACCTACTCCAGCAGATGCAGCCAACTAAACCCAGAGCACAGCAAAGATCTATAGACAACCTCCCAGCCCTCCCACCACAGGGGAATCCTGCTGCTAATTCCTGTGCCCAGCCAACACCCCAAGCATGCAAATGCCAAAGCATGGCCATGGACATGTCCCATCCAGCGGAACACACCTTCCCCTGCAGTACACCCATGCAAGTACACACACACACACACACACACACACCTGACAGCAGGCACACACATGTGCACATCCATGTCCCAGCAACAAATGTGCACATGCATCCCCAACAGCACACACATGCACCCATGCCCCTGGCAGTAAGCATGCATTGTGTATGTGTCTTCAACATGCAGGCATATAAGTACATGCATGTGCACACATCTTTAGCAGCATACGCACACCACTCTGGAGCATGCAATTATTGCCAAGTGCAGAGTTAGGGTTGTACAACACTATTTCTTGCTCCCCTACAGGCAGCATCCCAGACCTGGTCCATCTGCTAGGGACCACAGCCACTCAGCTTGCAAAGCCTGGCTGAAGTGAAGCTGAAGGGTGGGGAGGGGGCAGTCAGCTCCCAGCTCCATGGAAAGGTATTGCTCAGTTCCTGCTTGTCATCTGGGGTAGCCATGAGGGGACACTGACATGAGCCAAGCAGTGCATGTAGCACATGGAGCCGGAAGCTGGGACACTGATTATATTACTATTTCACTGCTGCTGGCGAAGTGAAGCTTAGACAGGCTTGTGAATTAATCCCAAGAGCCCCACGCTGTCCCTGTGCCAGCTCCACAGCCCATCAAACCTCTCTAGTTAATAGTTTACTCAGCACGAGATAACTCCTCTCAGCTCAATCTCTCTTCAAACCCATTTGAATGTCATTAACATTCTCGAGAGCAAATATTTGAGCAGAGATGGGAGGACTGGGATTGAACCAGTGACAGCAAAGCCCAGATTTTTTTTTCTTTTTAAAGGAATTGTTCATGTTCCAAGCCAAATCAGCCAAATCAAGTCAGTCCAGAATCATGTCTGCTGGTTGTAGGGCCATTTATCCTCCACCCTCACCAGGGGCTTCAGATATTTCCAACATCTTTTGGCAGGCATCCTACATGCAGGCCCAAGCCCAGAGGCTTGGGGTTCAGATGCCCCCAAGTTTCACCTGCCCTCATCCATTGGCTGCAGAAGCAAGCTAGGGAGGAGCCTCCCATTTCCATAAAATGGGCATTAAGCCCCAACACCTCAAGAGGTACTAAACCATGCCAGAAGACCAGTTACCCCTGGGAACGCTTAAGGAAAACTGCTTTCTTTGACCCAGATACATGGTGTTTTGCCTGCCAGGTAAGAAAAGCCCAGATGCCCAAGGAAACCTCCAAGCCTGGCTGCTCTGGTGCCTTCATCACTGTGCATGGGGCGAGAGGGAAAGGAAGCCAGCTCAGTTGGACATGGCAACAGGTTCTAGGCTCCTCGCACCCCATAAAATGGGGAATAAAGCAAGCTGAAGCAGTTTGCAGCATTCAAGTGCTAGGCAGAGATAAGCCAATCAGCCCTCCCAATCCCTTCTGTGGACAGGAGACTGGAAACCATTGTTAGCCCTGTTTTAGACAGGGGAAAACTGAGGCACAGAGGATCAACTCCAGGCACAGTGATCAGTGGAACAACCCCAGGAATTAATTTGCTCCAGAGGGATGAAGGGACCAGCAAGTCAGAGATTAGAGCTCTGGACTTCCCCACTCCTGGGTCTCCAACCCTGGGGCACGCAGCACTGGCATCTCAGCCAGCACGGATACAGCATCCTTTGGATGACCTTCAGAGGGATTCCCCAAGCTCCCTCCTGCCTTCATTTTGCATCCAGAACTTCTGCTTTTTCTCCCCTTCTCTTCCTGGGGGGACACCCGAGGCCAAGGACCCAAGCTCTTTCTGGGAATTCAGACCTCCAGGGTAGGAGGAGATGGAGGGGCTGGCTTCTCCCAACTGGGCCACCTTGGCATCCTTGCTTGATAGCCACACATGCCAGGGACCTTGCTCTTCAGAAGGGGCAGGCTTGGGGGATGAATGAGGAGCCAGGCACCACGTGCAGCAGAAAGGATGTGCCAGAGGTGTTTTTAGGGCGTGATCCCTGACAGGCAGAAAGATTCCCCCCACCACCACCCTCCTTAGCTTTTGCACCTAGTGCTGACCTCCAGCCTGAAAATTTCTCCATTGCAAACAAAAAAGAGCTACGGGGAGAGGGGGAGCTGCGAGTCCCTGGGAGAGGAGGGCTTCCGAGAAGGCCCAGAGCATCCACGCTAGAGCATGTTGCTGCCAGTGGGGCGGGCAGGAATGACCTCAGCACTGGGCCTGGAACTACCGAGCTCCAACTGTTTGGATTCAGACACAGCAGAGAAAAATTTCTAGGCCCAAACTTCACAGGAGGCATCTGATTTAAGTGTCATGGTTAGCTCATCTCAAGTGCTTGGCTATCACCATGGTACAAAGGATGATAGGGTTGCCCTTGATTGCACCTGGGGCTTCAGGGACAGGACAACTGGAGGGTTCCCAATGAAGGCTGTGCCAGGTGGGACTGCATGTGGGAAGTGGAAATGAATTCCAGAGGAAGGAAGGGAGGGAGGGATAGAAACAGAAGAGCGAAGGAGAGGGGCAGCACAGAGTGATGGGACTGTGTGAGAAAGGGGCACTGGATGAACATATGGGGTCCACTCACAGCCATGTCCACCCCACCTGCCCCAGGCCCCTATGCCAGGCCTCTCTCCCCACCCCCATCACTCTCCTAAGTAAGCCCCCAGGCAGCTGGCTAGAAACGGGAGACACTGCTGACTCTCCAGAAGGGGGAATAATTTATGGACTTCTCCGTAGTAACCATTTCATCACTAGACAGCTCTAGAGCAGCTTCTCTGCACTGCCAGGGGCTTGGGGTGCTGGGGACTGCAGGGGTGGGGAAACAAACCCAGCCCAGGCAATGCTTTCCCACCCCGACCTGCACCAGTGTCCCCTCTGCCTAGGGCTGCATTTAGATGCAGGATCACTGCGTTCAGGTTCAGTAGGAGCAAGTTGAATTGATCAGTGTCTTAAGCCAGCCTGGGGATCGACACAAGAGCCTTGCACAGTGGCCCAGCACTGCTCAATCCCCCTCACCCTCCCCCGAACTTGGCACCCAGAAGTGATGTGGCATGGTGATGTGGCATTAAAGATGCAACATGGCAACACAGGTAGGTGGCTGCACCATGGTGACAGCCCAGATGCCCTTCGTACCCTGCCATCTATGGCAGCTGGCAATGGGGAGAGCTGTAAGGATGGCTCAGGGAATGGGACAGAAGAGCTGAGGGGCAAGAGTGCCCATCCAGGTAGTGGGGTGGCAGCAATGCACACTTTGGAAAGCCAGCCTGGGGCAGGTGGAGTTATGGCAAGGGCTGGTGAAGCGGACTGGGCCTCGCACAGATTCCTCAGTGAAGTGTGATGCTCTACAACTCTCCCAATTGAGGCTGGCACAGGGGCAGTAGAGACAGGTGGAGACAGAGGCACCTACTTGTCAAGCGAGCAATATGGCGCCCCCATCACAGGGACTGGCACCAGCACCTTCCACCCGAGAACCCCCAGGCCCCTTGCATATCCTAATGAACAGCACCTCACACCCCCTCTACTCTAGGAGGTCAGCATTGTTGCCCCAAGTCACAGAAAGACAGAAGCACAGTGCGATGAAGTCGCTTATTTTCAGAAGGGGCAGAGGATTTTAGATGTGGGCCCAGGGCCCGACCGCCAGAGGTACAGTGACCCCCAGCACTCAGCACCTTCAGCTGGAACAACAGGGTCTGACTTCTCAGTAGGAAACTCCCTGATGCCTCAAACTAGGAACCCAAAGCAAAATGACCTAAAGTTAGCAGTTGCTTCAGTGACTGGCCTGAAGTCAAACAGAATCAGCAACAGAGCTGGGATGAGACCCCTGAGCTCCTGGGTTCAGTCCTGTGCTCCACTTCCTTTCTGTCCCACCCTTGTTGTCCCCACTCCTGCCCTGCCCTCTTCTCTTGTCCAAGTGGTGTTGCAAGCCAGGACAACAAGACACTTTCCAAGGGCACAAAGGGAGTGAACCAGCTGGTGAGAAGCCTCGTCCCTGATGGGACACAGCAAGCACTGACAAAACCCCAGTGCCAGAGAGGTGCCAGTGTTCAAGTGATTAGTGCCAAGACAGTATTTGGTAGTAAGGAAGTTTGTATAAAAGGAGAAAAGGCTGGAGAGGTTTAACCAGAAGGCCACCTTCACAAAGCATTCACCTGCAAGAGACACATTAACTCTGCCCCTGCCTGGAGCTCTGGAAAGGTTGGGGGAATGCAACCCTACATCAATTCTGTCCCCAAAGTAGGGACTGATCACACTGCCTCCCCCAGGCTTTAAACCCCCTGCCATGGGTCCAACAAGCAAAAAGTTCCGTTTTCCTGTGCATGGAGATCCCCAATTCTCTGCTGCACTGGCCTCAGGGCCTTTTTTCTACATCCTTCCTGCTTGGGTGTTTACCACATGGTTCAATTGTCTGGCACCAACACATGAAAGTCCCTTTTTGAAGCCTGGTTCTATAGCATGCAAGGCTGGGATGTAGTCTCTTAAAATAAGCATGTCTACACAGCAAACTTACCATGTCAGGAGGTAGCAGGCCTCAAACACAATGCTGTTCCATGTGGGCTGCATTTGGAGGCAGGATAGCTATACCCATGCAGTGATTCAGGTGGGCTAATCATGTGCAAATCAGCCCACCCCACACTAATTACCCTGCTTGCAGCGCCACATGGACATGGACCCCCTGCTCCCCATCTAGAAGGCAGGGCAGCCCAGGGTGTTTGAGAGTACTGCTGCCTGGCATGGTAGGTTTAGCATGTGGTTTCAGTCTCTGGGCACAGCATGTCTTCACCCAGTCCAGCTGGCTAAAGGCCCTACTGGCACCACAAAGCTGGCTGGGCAGTTCCAAGAGTGGTGAGGACTTCAGTTCCAGGCCTAACACAGCAGCTGTTTGTATTGTGATGGGACTGGACTGGCTATGAGGCATGTTTGCAGGGACCAGGCTGGAAGGCTGGTGGTGATGGCCCCAGTGGCACCAGTTTTAGTCTGTGTCACGTCCTGGAAACTCCACAGGAACCTGGCCTGCAGACACAACATGAGCCAGACAGGGGCACTTTGCTGTGCACTTTGGTCTCTGCTACACCCAACAGCTGACCCCTGCCAGGGAACCCATCCAGCTCCTGCCCAGCCCAGCCCCAGGTCCACTCCCAGCTGGAGACAGGCACTCACCTGGCTACAACCTCGTTGTCGACTTTGACGATGCAGTAGGGGTCACTGGAACCAGACCTTGGGAGGGAAGGCAAACATGCAGTATTACCTGGGGCACTGGTGGGAGGCAGGTCCTCCCATAGGGCTCTGACGCACTGGAGGCGAGCACTGCAGGAGCCTGGGGAAGGCTCTGGCAGGACTTCACCTGGTGGCAGAGGCTGAGTGGCTTTGCGGTGTGCAGCACCAGTCACTATGGTGTATGAAGTCAGGCACTCTTGCCCTGGTAGAGGAGAGGCTGCACCCACAGGATGCCCCCTGAGAAGAGCAAGTTGGAACAGCTACCTCCTATAACAGGACATCTGATGGGCGAAGTGATCACTGAGTCAATGGTATCCCCCCACTTCCCTGAGCAAACCACCTTGAGGCAGGCTCCCTTCCCCTTCCTGCCCCCACCCCCCCCATGCCCATCTCCACATACACCTTCCAGTGACAAACCCCTCAACCCTAGCTGCACTGCTGGACTCATCTGCTCCAGCTGGGCACCTTGACCCCTCTGCTTTAACCCTACATGCCAAGCCTACATGCTATTTCTTACAGGGAGGAATGACTCTTTGGGAAGCAGCAGTTTATATTGGTAATGGGGGGGCAGCACAGAAGAAAGAGGCAAAGGCCCAGGTAGGGAAGGATTGCAGGGAGCAACAACTTCTATTGAAGATAGTGCCCGCCTGAGGGAACCACCAGAGGCTTCAGTCCAGCCCCCTGGTGTCTGCAGGAATCCCGCAGGGAGAACGTCTCATAGTGCTTGAGGGCTGCTGAACCAGGACCAAGTCCATGATGACAGAACTGTAAAGGACCATTTGGTCCTGAAAGGGAAGCTGTTGATGGTGGGAGTAGGGAACGGGTGTTTGCCAAGGGCTCAGGCAGCTTCTCGATGTGCCTTCTCTCAGCCCCCCTGGACAAACTGGTGTGGTGGGGTTCCCCAGACTTGCTTGGAGTCACTGTTCTGACAGCATCAGAGATAACCTCTGCCTTACCAAATCTGCCAAGGGCTATTGACCCAGGGAATGAGCTGTTAGCAGCAGGCAGTTCCCCTCCGAGTAACGAACCCTGGAGAGCCAGGGCAAGGCTTTCTGCTTGATGGAAAGCAGGAAGATTCCCTCCTCAGTGAGACCAGCTGGGAGAGGATTGGAAGTCTGGAGTCTGGGCAAGGCTGGCAGCAGGCTATGCTGGATAACTCATCAAAGGAACCAGGGCACAGCCACTGAGTGGGACTGGGCAGGGTTTGCCCTGGACTGGAAGGGCCACCAGTGGATCATCAGAAGCAGGGATCAAACCTGCAGCCTTGATTCTACACCACGAGCCTCTGCTGCCTGCTCAGGATGAGCCACCTATGCAAGCCAAACCTAATGCAAGCTTCTTGACCTCTCTACATGGGCCAGTGAGTCACATTCAGATCATTAACCCAGAGTCTCAGGGGTTTGCTTTTCAGGACAGGTTTGTCACAGGTAGTTACATGCTGAAGGCAGGATAAATTCACACCTTTTAGAGACTAACCAAAGTAGGCTACTTTGGTGCAAACCTATCCCGTCTTCTACTTGACTTCAGGCTAACTACATCTCTTTGCACATTAGTTACATGCTGCCAGAGTCAAGCTCCCCTTATAGTTTCCACAGGACCCAGCACCCCTCACTGTCCCCAAGCTATCCTCTGGAGGGACACATGTTGAGACAAGCAAAGATTTGCTGCATTGCTCCAAGCTGCAACCCAGGCCCACCCCAGAGGTGGCTGCATTCCACACATGGGCATGGAGGAGGCTGTGTAGGTATCATATCCATTGGAGGAGCTTGAAAGGGGTGGTATTTAGGATTAAAGACATAAGACCAGTCAAAAATACTGTATTGAGTTGAGGAAGTAAGAAAGGCTGAGAAGCACAGGATAAACCTGCTACCTTTCAGAGATAAAGATCCATGGAAATAGTGCCCTCGCTGTGTTAGTGTGTCCTGGTGTTTCTGTGCTCACCCCTCTCTGCCTGGGGATATAAGCTTGTTCCTTTGTGCTGAGATCTTCTAGGATCGCTTCCCAGCCCATCATGGCTGGACTAGTTTCCCTTTCAGGAGGAATTGTGGGAAGGCAGTGGAGGACTGTCACTGCTCGAGTGATTTAAATTTGGCACCCTCACTACAAAACGAGCGAGTTACAGCCTGAAGTTAATCAGACCCAGCTACAGCTGACCCCTAAATTGTATAATCTCACCTGGAATTCAGATTTAGCCTTCAAACACAGCTAAAGGCTGGCATGCACATCAACAGTAGGGAGAGGTTTGGGCTACAACCTGGATAGGAGCCCAGGGTTAACTGCATAACATGCCCTCAGAGGTGAAATGCTACCTGCAGAGCCAGCCTGACACCTATAATGACTCTGGAAATAAGCCTCCTCTGAGCTCTCCGAATGGGCAAGCAGCCGATGAATTCTAATCCACGGGTTCAGGGACCCACGTGCTACAGAACATTAACCAGAGCAAACAATGCTGTCCAAACAGGTCCATTCAAGCCATGATATCTCCTTGCTCCCATCACCCCCCCAGAGCGACTTTCCAATTCCTTCTGGACTATGCTGGGTTCTTGCACCTCAGGGGTTAAGCTCACGGTTTCTATAACAAGGGGAAAGTCTCAATACCATATTTATTAGCTGTCTGGCATGAGCACCAACCATGGACCAGGATTGTGCTGAGCTAGGCACTGTACACATTCAGTGCATGGTTTATATGCCAAGATTGCTGGGTGGCAATGGTTCAAATCCTGGTTACAGCAGCCTCAGCCCTAGCAGGGCAGCTCTGTCCTTTCCAGCAGATGAAACGTTGCTCTACACGGGCAATGACAGCCGGATGCCAAGCAACCAGAACTGGCTCATGCCAGTAGCATTGACTTCAATGGGAGCAGAATTTGACCCATGTCCAGCCCTGTTGAAAGTCTCACAGCACTTCTTGCAAGAGTCAGAGTTCCCTCAACTACCATTTTACCCTCGTCCCAACGAACTGTGTTGTTTTATATCCAGGCGGCTGCCCTACCACCCAGACATGGCCGCATGGCTCTAGAACATAAAGCACTTGGAGGCCTTTAGGATGAAAGCTGGAGATCTGCCAGCGTCCATGTATATATGCCTCTGCTGCCTTTTCCACCAACAAGCCCACCAGATAGCACTATTTTTCCCTCTGCATATAACGCCAGATAACCTGCTCTACCCCAGAGGTGAAGGTGCATATTGGCTCTTCGTGCCACCACGTGAAAATCTCCCTGAAAAAAGGGTTTATCCAAGCATCCCCGGGCTCTGCCACTACACCAGCCCACAGAGTTTCTGTAGCAACCCACCTCCCAATGTCATGATGCCGGGACACACACTGTGTCACCATGACATGATGAGAGTCTCTCAACTGCCTGGGGCCTACCTGGACTTAACCCTTTCTTGGCATTGAGGGCAAGGCAGTTTCCTGAGCAACCACAATGTTGCAGCTAAAAAAAAAAGAGAGAGAGAGAAGAAAGAAACAAGGAGCTAAGACAAGGGAGTTACCTAAAACAGTGCCCAATAGCACACTAATAATCTGCTCAGAGCTATTTCCTGTGTAAACACATGAGAACAAGCCAGCACTCCTTGTGGTGAGGTAGATTCGCTCCAGTTAAAGCCACAGCCAGGCTCCCACGTCAACAGTGATTTTCTCTCCTTTATTACGTGAAGAAAAAAGCCTTGAACGTCTCACTACAAGACTAGATCAATCGAACAGTTTACAGCGGCCATATTATGATATAGTCATGTCCTTCTTGTCGCAGACCCACATCGAGCCCACTCCTGCTTGCACGTTCATTTTGTGACTTCTTCAGCTCGAGTCACAGAAGTCTATGCTGTCAGCATCAAAAAGCCCAGGGTTCAAGCCCCTCGAGGGAAGGGTAATTATCCAAGCATGAAGAACTCTTGAGAGTTTGTAGTGATGTTACTAAGAGAGGCATAAGTCACGGAGAGTTTTAAACAAGAGCTAATATTTCTTTTTCTTGCCGCTTTTGCAAAGGCAAGTGCCATAAAATCTGGGTATACTCACTATCCCTTTTGGGAGAGATTTGCATTGAACTGAAATAGCAAAATCTCCTCTTTGTCCTCAGGCACATGTGTTTTGCATCAGACATCCAAGGAAGAATGTAAGCCCCAGTCTTGCAAGCTCATCTTCAGACCTGGACCTCTAGCCTGCAAGAAGCCTCACACAACACCCCGGGTCTGAACAAATCTCTATGCTGATCCGATCCCAGGAGGGGGGCCACTGCTGGTTCCTCTAGGGGCTGCTGTACTCAAGGGGCTGCTGCCGCCTCAACGATGTCAGTACAGCATGGCAGCAGAGCCTCTTACTGGAGTAATGGTGAAAGACAAAAGAAGGGTATTTTTTCTGCTGGCTCAACTACACCCTAACCCTGAACAGCAGAAGCTAAGTAGATAGGGTTGGCCAAGACACCCAAGCCAGGTAGAGGGTGTGATCTTTGCCGAACAGACCAGGCCTCAGTGATGAGACCCATCACTGTATGGAGGTAGTTCATGATAACTGCAACTCCAGCACAGTTCTGATCAAAGACCCTCCTCCTCTGGCTGGCATAGGCAAGGCAAGTGACTAAGCCCAGCCTAAGTAACACTTAGCAGCCGAGACTTGGGACCTGGAGAAAAAAAAAAATGCACATAAAAAATATGTACTTCCCCACCTGCACCAGTATAATTAAGCCTGGCTCAGATCCCCCACATCCCAGGCACAGAGGGGGACCTGTCAGAGGCTTTTCACTCCATCTCACATTGACCTTGGCAGTTGGCACATCTATGGCAAAGGTACTTTAGACAGAACATGGATAAGGAAGACCTAGGACCACCCAGAAAAGCACCACAGAATTACATATCCAGCTCCTATGTATCAGCAGAGGTCCACTGACCACAGTAAAGCCAGCCAACGTGAGAGGCTAATATGTGGATTACTTTATTCCAGAGTGTTTGAAACAAGCTCCAACACACTGCTTTGGATGCAGAAAAAATTAACTTCATAGAAGCAACTGGTCTTTATTAGGAGGTACAGTGTGGGTCATAAGGTATTCCCCTGAAAAGGCCACTAATAGGTTGCTAGTGAATTGTGGCACTAGCCACAACAGCAAGGAGACTGTTTGCAGCCCCAGATTTTATCTGCTGAGAAATGTTACTTTTGACTGGTCCAAAGTATTATGAATTTGCTAAACTAGCAAAGCCAACAAAGCTACAATATCTAGTTCCATGGAATCATAGGAGAGCAGAGCTAGGAGGGACAACCTGCCCAAGGCAGGTTCACTCTTGTCTAAGACAGTGGTCTTCAAACTTTTTTTTGATCGCGCACCCCTATAAGTAAAAAATTTTTGAGCATGCACCCCCAATCCATTTATATTTATATAAATATAAATAGAAGTTCTAATATTTTCTTCCTGCACCCCAATGAATCGTCTTGCACGCACCCCACTTTGGAGACCACTGGTCTAAGACATCCTAGATAGGCATTTGTCTGATGTGCTCTTCAAAACTTTGGGAACAAACTCTTACACAAAACTACCAGGTGTGATGCCAGAAACATCAAAAACACCCTTTAACTTGCAATGTGTCAGGCAAGAGAATGGGAGAGCACTATCCATGTCATGCTACTGCAAGGACAGGAAGTAGTTAGAATACATTCAAAAGATCCAAGGATTTCCACATTTTTTACATGAAAGGATCAATTTCATTTTAAACACACACACACACACACACACACACACACACACACACACACACACACAATGATCAAAAAAAATCAGAAGACACATCAAGGAACTTAAGATTCATTCATTTTTAGAACTTGTAATCTTAGCAGGCCACCTGAGTTTTTTTTATTTGAGTGAGAAGTGGAGGGCTACTGACTTGTGGTTTTTGATCTTTGCAGTAAGCTCATTGCAGATAAAGTATTTACTTACTAATGATAGGATTATTTACACAATATTTACCTAATTCTTTGGTAACAAACTACTTTATGTATCTTAACACTTAATAGAGAGCAATCAAAGGAGGTTCATATGTACAGAAGCAATGTGCATGTACAGATAAATATCACTAGCTCGTACTCATAATTTAGGTTCCTTTCACTGTGCTTTGAAGTGCTGGTTACTTGATAACATCCCTAATAATGAAGAAGAATTTATTTCCTCTCTTTCACTGTGCTTGCTTCCCTCCTCCGACCTGATTCAAAAGCTTGTCTAACTTTATTTCAACCAAGCAGCTGATCTCACCCTTAAAAAGTCCTTTCCTATCAAAGCAGATTTGTCCCTTGTAACTCAGATGTTTGCTACCTAAAATGGTTAAGAATTCAGAATTTACTTATAGCGAAAAAGTGCCAGAAATGAGAGGTTATCTAAGTTATCTCTGTCACCCAAGATAGAATCAGCTATCCCTAAATCAATCCCAGTGGATGTTAGTCTAACCTCCTCTGAAAATACTTTCAATGATGGAAATGCCACAGCTTCCCTAGGGCATCTATTCCAGTGCCTAATTCTCTGTACTGTTAGAAAGTTTTCCTTAATCTCCAAACTAAATGCCCCTTGCTGCAGTTCAAATCCAGGACTACTTTTGCTACCACCAGTGGACACTGGGAGCAATATAGAACCTTCTTTGCATGAAATTTCAACATAGTTGAAGACTGTTATCATGTCTTCCTCACTCTTCTCTTATCTAGACTAACCAAACTGAGTTCTTTCAACCTTTCCCCCCTCCTTATTTGGTGCCAAATATTTAGCTCTTAATTCTTCGTTACTTTGGGCTTCTCAGCATTACATCTGTTTTGCACTATGCTGTCCTACTCTGTTGAGTTACTCCACTGAACACAAGGCAGTTACTCCTGATATACACCAGAGTAAGTGAGAGGAAAAGCAGGGTCCTTGTTCTTTTAAGGACCCAGCTGCACACCTGTACTCCTCTGGGATAACAGAGCTCAAAACTAATGTGAGGGCTGAAGATAAAGCACTCTTGGTCAAAGGGATCCAGCTATGGAACGATATGTCAAAGGCTAGATAAATCCAGGTTCTGACCCTCTTACAACAATGTCACCTGTCCTGAATTGTTTGGGAACAGCGCATCTGCACAGGGGGTTGGTCTAGAGCAGAGGTGGCAAACTCATTCAATCCCGTGGGGTGGGTGAGGGTTGTGTAGCTGGTCTGCAGGCTAGACTGAATACACAGCCTGGCCCCATGCACCAGACCCAGCATTTAGGATTGGTCCAGCTCATGGGCAGCTCATGCAGCATGCACTGGGTCCAGCCCAGCTCATGTAGCATGCACTGGGTCCAGCCCAGCGTGCCCATGCAGCATGTGCTGGACCCAATCCAAGGCTCAGGCTGCACACAGCATACAGGCCAACATGGGACACATGCTGCATGCAGCACCATGCTGGACCAAGCCTGCATGCTGGTTCCTTTATGCAGGGATGATCTGTGGGCCCAGAGCACTGCATGCAGCATATGGGGTCAGTCCAAGACCCATGGGCCAGATCTTTGACACCCTTGTCTACGCTAGTGATTCTCAGCCAGGGCTCCATTGCACCCTGGGGTACCATAAGATCCTTTAAAGGGTGCCATGGGGTGCCACGCAGTGTTAGCACTGATAGGCATGCAGACATAATTCACAAGAGACTTCAAACAGGAATCCATAGTGTCAAAAACATTTGGCTCTACTGTGGTCTTTATCTGAGGTCTTTGCAACAGAAGAATTGCTCTATTATGTCCCCTTACTCAAAAAATGAGCGAAAGCCAAGAGCTGGCATTTTTGCAGGGTGCCATGAGTCTACTGAAGGGTGCCTTAAGTGTAAAAAGGATGATAACCACTGGTCTAGGTGACCCTTGGAAGCTCTTGCTGACTATGATTCTTCTATACTAATGCTACGAAACCTTTTCAAAAAAGGTTCTTTCCACCTCTGAATGACCCTTGCAATCCTGACACTAGCTGGAATCCTAAAAATCAATCCCTCTAAAACCAACCAAATAGAGATCTGATCTCTAAAAGGGGCAAAATGCAAGTCCAATAGGCACTTGCCTATGGCTACCAAATTTACAGGGAAGGTGCCAAGATACTGTGATGGTGGGTATAAAACCCTAGTTTAGGTCGGCAGATTCTGTAAATATCAGCCTGTGTTAATTCTCTTCTCCTACCAGGTTTACTCCATAGCAACTGATCTTACACTGGCCGGGCCCATTCACTGGTTATTTGCATCCATGCACAATGGGAGAAAAATTCATCACCACCAATGGAAGGATCCAAAAATTATGACTTCACCCTCTAAGCCAAGGGAGTCAAACATGACTAAACCAACAA